TAAAGACCTCATAGTGCCTTATCATCCCAACAGAGCACTTGGCTCTCAGAGTGCAGGTCTACTTGTGGTTCCTAGAGTTTATAGAAGTAGAATGGGAGGCAGAGCCTTTAGCTATCAAGCTCCTCTCCTGTGGAACCAGCTCCCAGTCTCAGTTCAGGAGGCAGACACCCTCTCTACCTTTTAAGATTAGATTCAAAACTTTCATTTTTGATGAAGCTTATAGTTAGGACTGGCTTGGGTGACCCTGAGCCTTCCCTTAGTTATGCTGTCATAGGCCTAGACTGCTGGGGGGTGCATGATGCTCTGAGTTTCTCTCCTCTCCTCTCCTCCCCATGCATCTATGTATATGCTACCATTACATGTCCTTCCTTATGTGTCCTCTCTCTCTCTCTCTCCCTGTACCTTTCTGCAGGTAGCCCTGGCTCTGGACCTCTACGTTTCTGATGAGCAGTCACTGGCCACATCATCCTGCCCAGTGTTTGATTGTTTGTTGTTGTTTTTGTTGTGTCTTATTGCTTTTCTTTTCTCTGTCCTGTATCCACTCACCTCAAGCGGTCGAGGCAGAAGGCCACCCACTAAGAGCCAAGATCTGTCAGAGGTTTCTTCCTTTAAAGTCAAATACCTGGGTGTCCACATCAGTGAGGACCTCAACTTCTATAGCTGCATCATTGAGAGCATCTTGACCAGCTGCATCACTGTCTGGTATGGCAGCACTACTGCTATGGACCGCAAGTGCCTGCAAAGAGTGGTAAAGACTGTTGAGAAGATCACCGGGACTCCACTGCCCTCTCTGCAGAGCATTTACCACCGCAGGGTGCGTAGGAAAGCTGCCTCCATCCTCAAAGATCCCACCCATCCCCAGCACGGACTGTTTGCCTCCCTACCCTCTGGCCGGAGGTTCAGAAGTGTGAAATGTAGGACCACTAGACAGAAAAACTCTTTCTTTCCCTCTGCCATCAGAGTCCTAAACAGCTGACAGGAATTTATTACCAGGAAATACGTGTTGTACTGTTTACATTCTCAGTTTGCACATGCATAATTGCACATTGACTGTTGACTGCTGCGCATGCTGCTCCCATGCAGCATACATTCTGTCTAGACCTTATTTTATTAGGTGTCCTGAGACAAGTTTTCTTGTGATTTGGCCCTATACAACCAAAGCTGAATTGAATGGAATTACTGTAATCTGTACTTCCATGCCTCTTCAGGGCAGAAAATATTAATATGTGAAAGAAAAATGTGTATAAGTGTAAATAAATATTCAAAACAGAAATTTTAAAAAATCCAGTCTGGGGAACAGAAATGGAAGCTACGTAATAATATTTATGAGAATCCACAGTCATGTATACAGTGTTAATTGCAGCCTCACTGTGCCAACAGAAGGACTAAATAAGAAACAACTTACACTAAGATTTGCAATATAAACCTTGTGACGATGGACTTTACTGCAGGGCTGAATGCTGTAAAGGACTACAGTACAGTGTATACTGGTGTTTCTTTAATTGTGGCCATGACTCCACACATTAACTATTGCAATACAATACAATAAAATGTCTCTGAATCTGATTTTGTGTTCCCATTTGTGAACTGTGGTCATTTTGACAGGACAGAAGTGTTAAAAGGTGTTTCCATGACAGGACTTGGGAAACCAACAAAATACCCTGCCCCGGACAAACATCACTTTATGTTAAGCATCTATTCCTAGTACAAAGTTTATAATAGCTAAAGAGATATTATTGATTGTGTTATTAAATAAAAGCAATAGGTACAGTAAATTAAATGACAGTATTTTGAATACTGAAGTAGGTCTAACTTGACTTTTATCCAGATGTCCTGCTTCCACAGTTGGTAATTGGAGATCACCCAAACGACTTAAAAAAGACAAGCGTTGTCTTCAACCTTGCATCCCAAAAATCGTTTTTATGAATAGCCTAACTGCTTTAAAACACTAATACATGATATATTAACAATTAATAAAGCCAACAATAAACGCTTATAATGCAGTTTTGAATGGTGCCTTATCAGAGAGTGGTACTATTGTTCCTTGTATTTGAGCCTAAAGATATTATCATTTCTTCGGTTGTAACAGTCTTCATGGCAGCTGTTGGAGCGACACCGGCAGCAGTAGATGGAATATAGCCGTAACATAATGTAGGGGTTTCCCTTGTATCAGCTGAGCACAGGACCCCACCATTACAATGCCATATAGGGGACAATAGATAGCAAACCGCCGCATTTTAAATAATTACAGCTACATATGGATGTGCGTGTTTAAAATGTTTATGATTATGAATCCGGAGGTCGTTTCCGTTCACCATCGGTGTTTTGGAATAAGTTTGATTTGTCCGACCCCCTCAACCACCCACCTAAACCAACGTGGATGATTCCTAAGATGGCGGCGGTTTCTGTAACTGAAGAGTGAAACTTTGTTATTTGTGGCTAATATTCTGCCGTTTTCTAATACCGCCTGTCTTCTTGAGTCGTTAGTTTATTAAAGCAAGCATTATCAGAATACCAAGACGTGTGGCGGCGGTCGTCAGGACCGATAGGGTTCATTCTGGGCGCTGTTTATGATCGCCAAATCGTTGGGCTGCTTTCGAAGTTGACGTAGGCTGACATTGCGATCATACCTACTGTTGTCTTCAGATCGTTTAACGAGGAACCCACAGGTGAGACCGGGCGTCGCCGAGTTGCTAACTAGCTTACCGGCCAAAGTGTGTCGAAAAAGTGTCGGCGGGTTTTCTTTGATCTGGGTTGAGTGAGGGCAGGTCGGAGATCCTGAGGACGTGTCACGTCAGTGGAAATAAAGAGGTGGTGTTGGATGTCACCACCGCTCTGTGTCACACTGATTTTGGTTTGCTAGCATCGTGTAAGTACAGCTCATTTTCAGCTGTTTTCTTTCTTCACCGTCAACAGTGTTCGTGTGAACAGCTTGTTCTGCTTTGTGGCCCAGAGTCACTTATCTCCATAGTATGTGTATATGACTTTAGTGCACTAGGTAGCTATTAGCCGACTGTCCACAAAATATTGCATTCTAAATGTGTTACTATCACTTGTGTTGGTGGGGTGGGGGTGGGGGGGGAGCACAGAACTATCATAAACCATATACTTGGTGGTTATATGATTTTATGAAAGGAGCAGTTGTAGGTGACATGGTTAGTTTTCTCTTGAGTTTTCAACAAATTAAAATACAGATAATTAGGCATCTGAATGCCCTTTATTCTGTTTGTTTTTAATTTTAATTTCCTGGTGTCTTTCTGACGGGCAGCCATCCTGGCAAATCAAATGGAGAAACTCCAGGAGCTGAGCCAATCAGAACTACAGGAGCTCCTGGACAATCCAGAAAGGGTGGAGTCTATGGCTCTGGAGTCAGATGAGGTAAAACATTATGCTACACTTTCCATTTGGCTTCCATGTTGGACTCTGTCCTTCAGAGAGGCTTAGCTCTCAGGTGAAAGGGTTCTGTGAGAAATCGAGGATTTGATTTAAAAGTCCTGAGACTGCAGGTTTATTGAGTCTCTGTGTGGTTAAACTCGCATGACACGAATCACATAAACTGAAATACAAATAAATACATTGTTGGTTAAATTTAAAACCCCAGCCTGTTTATTTAGATCCTCATTAGCTGCCTTATCACAACAGTAGTCTGTACCATGAAGTGAGATTAGCATGTTGGGGGCAACAGTGGTGCGGTGGGTAGAGCAGTCATCTCCCAATCAAAAGGTTCAAGGTTCGAATCTTTGTGCCTACAGTCCACATGTCGAAGACACTGAACCCCCCAAGTTGCCTGAGATGACGGCGTGTATGCACAGAGCTGCCTGGGGTTCTCGGCTCCAAATGAAATTTTGTTGTACATGTTACAATGCCGATAAAAAGCTTATTCTGCTGTCTTTGGGCTTAACTAAGGTTTTCTGGTTCCATGAAGCTGGCTCATTTTATATGACCACAGTAAGCTACATATGTTGCAGGTTTAACCTGCTCTGGAGCAGATTAATTTTGAATTAACAAATCAGAATCTGAAAATCTCAGCTTCTGAACAATCAGATCACTGGCATAGGTATTGTGTAGGGATGGGACGGGACAGTATATCAAAATTATATAAATATATATTCGCTGCAATTACTGCTGCAAATCTTTGTCTCTACCAGCTTTGCACATCTAGAGACTGCAATTTTTGCCCATTCTTCTTTGCAAAATAGTTCCATTTCAGTCAGATTGGATGGAGAGCATCTGTGCCACAGATTTAAGTCTTGCCACAGATTCTCAATAGGATTTAGGTCTGTACTTTGACTGGGCCATTCTAACACATGAATATGCTTTGATCTAAACCATTCCATTGTAGCTCTGGCTATATGTTTAGGGTCATTATCCTGCTGGAAGGTGAACCTCTGCCCTAGTCCCAAGTCTTTTGCAGCTTCTAACGGGTTTTCTTCCCTGTATTTTGCTCCATCCATCTTCCTATCAATTCTGACCAGTTTCCCTGTCTCTGCTGAAAAAAAGCATCCAAACAGCATGATGCTGCCACCGCCATGTTTCACGGTGGGGATGGTGTGTTCAGGTTGATGTGCAGTGTTAGGTTTCCGCCACGCATAGCATTTTGCATGTAGGCCAAAAAGTTCAATTTTGGTCTCATCTGACCAGAGCACCTTCTTCCACATGTTTGCTGTGTCCCCTACATGGCTTGTGGCAAACTGCAAACGGGACTTCTTATTGCTTTCTTTCAACAATAGCTTTCTTCTTGCCACTCTTCCATAAAAGCCAGATTTGTGGAGTACACGACTAATGGTCGTCCTGTGGACACCTACATGGCTTGTGGCAAACTGCAAATGGGACTTCTTATTGCAAGATGGCCATGTCTTGGTAGGTTTGCAGTTGTGCCATATGCTTTCTGTTTTCAGATGATGGATTGAACAGTGTTCTGTGAGATGTTGGGACATGTTTTTAATAACTTAACCCCGCTTTAAACTTCTCAACAACTTTATCCCTGATCTGTCTGGTGTGTTCCTTAGTCTTCATGATGCTGTTTGTTCACTAATGTTCTCTTTACTTACTCAGCTGTATTTATACTGACATTGATGTACACACAGGTGGACTCTATTTACTAATTAGGTGAATTCTGAAGGCAGTTGGTTGCACTGGATTTTATTTAGGGGTATCAGAGTAAAGGGGGCTGAGAGTATTTTTGAGCATTTTCTTAACACCAGATGAATAAAAATATCCTCTACTACTTTTTTTTGGCAGTTTGACCTCTTTTGTAGCCAAGCGAAGTTATTTCTTTTTAATGATACACCATACCTCCAAATGTTTGGAACTGCAGTGGGAACTAAAATGGCTCCCAGTTTTGCTTGTCTCTTTGTTGGTTACTTGGAAGAACAAATGTACCAACCACAAAATAATTAGTTTGTTCCTTTTATTGTGTTTTAGAAATGATATGTTTATGATGCGTTTTTACTTTGGAAAGGTTCAAACTCCATTTTACTAGAGTTTTTAAATGGCAATTTTACAGTCTTAAAATTCACACTTAATTATATTCCGCCGATGACACCGCAGTGATAGGTCGCATCACTGGCAGGGATGAAGCAGCCTACAGGAGGGAGGTGGCCAGTCTGGTGTCATGGTGCGAGGACAGTAATCTCAGCCTCAATGTGGACAAGATGAAGGAGATGATAGTGGACATGAGGAAGGAGAGGAGATCTCATCAGCAACTGTTCATCTGGGAGCTTGAAGTGGAGAGCGCTCCAGCTTCAAATACCTGGGCGTCCACATGAGTGAGGATCTCACTTGGACACTTAACACCACACAGGTGGTCCAGAAGGCCAACAGCGACTGTACTTCCTGAGGAGGCTGAGGAGGTTTGGCATGTTGCCTAGGATCCTTTGCAACTTCTACAGCTGCATCATTGAGAGCATCTTGACCAGCTGCATCACTGTCTGGTATGGCAGCACTACTGCTATGGACCGCAAGCGCCTGCAGAGAGTGGTAAAGACTGCAGAGAAGATCACCAGGACTCCACTGGCCTCTCTGCAGAGCATCTACCACCGCAGAGTCTGCAGGAAAGCTGCCTCCATCCTCAAGGACCCCACCCATCCCCAGCATGTACTGTTCACACCTCTACCCTCAGGCTGGAGGTAAAGAAGTGTGAAATGCAGGACCACTAGACTGAAAATTTTATTTTCTTTCCAACTGCCATCAGATGCCTAAACAGCTGACAGGAGTTTACAATCAGGACTTACTTCATGTAATTCCACCTGTACTGTTTACATGCTTGGTTGCACATGCGGCTCCAATGTAGCATACATTATCTCTTGTGTTCCTATTATATTTTTATTATATTTCTTTTCACTTGCTGTTTAAAGTGCCTTTAGATTTTGTGCTACTTTTTATCTACTTTATATTTCACTTGTGTTGTTTGGCATTCAGTGTGGACGGCAAAATAAGAATTTCATTGTACAGGGAAACACGTTTCCTTACTGTGCATATGACAATAAATACTTTAAACCTTGAACCTTGAACTTAGAAGTAATGAATAGGCTAGGGACATTGCAGTAGTAACAGGTGAGGGACATATGGATTAGAAGAAACAGATTCTGACTGACATCATGTTGGTAAGCTCAAAGAGAGACCGTAGAGGACAAACGGACAATCGACAGGCGGCAGGTGCATCATTTTGTCTCAAAGCACATCGAGGCCACTTATGTGAATAATATAAGGGCTTAATTGTTCTTGCAGCAAGGGAGCACTCAATACATACAGTATGGTTGTATGAAGGAAATGCTCAGAGAAGCAGTCTCTCTGAGGGTCATTTATACAGTCACACTTAACAGTCATGGCAAGTTCTGCGTTGTCGTTGGCTCCTGGAACAGATATGTCTGTATCTCTGCAGTTTGACTGCTTATGAGAACTGAGTTGGTGTAAGCACACAGCAAAATACAGTCAGTAAAATACATAAGGTATCTATTCTAGATCTACTGTTTACTCTGCAAGTACAGAATGTATAATAATTGTACTGTGAGTCCCTTGATAAACATTTTTCCAAAACCTACCAAAAACATCTTCACTACGGGTGCAAGGAGGCTTCAACAAAGAGTCTGATAGCTAATATTTGAAGACAGCACATCACTACAGCTGATTCGCTAGAGGAGGGGGGGGACACTAAAGCTTGATTTATGGTTCCACACAAAGGCTATGTGCCTTAGACTAATGCAAGCAGACTACGCCGTTGTGAGCATTTATACTTGATGTGCCGGTGTGTCTGTGTTGCCCTGCAATTATACCACCAAAATGCTAGTTTGCAGTGGTTCTTCACCACTTATAAACATTGGTGACTGAAACTTGATGGACCATGTTGGAGTTAAAACTAATAAATGTTGAACACCAGTTACTTTTACTGAAATTACTGCAACACAGATAAAAGAGAGGATGGAGGAGATAGTCTGTGCGACCATTGAACCAACTGAAGCATAGTGATTGCAGATTTTCTGTGCTTGTCTGGCCACTGAGAGACATGAATGAGGAAATGCAATGCAACCAGTAATCTGCTGTCAGTATTTCTCCTGTTGCTGCTAGTCATGACACACTGTACAGAGTAGTGCTGCCAGAGCTTGATTAGCCTTGCTCATATACAGTAAATATATTACGGCCTCGTTTCAGCTGATTCTGCCCACAGAATGTGATATCTTATTTGTGCCAAGTTATGTTGTTGTCTTTGTATTCACACAAGTGCACTGAACAGACTTCAGACCGTGGACCTCATAGGGCTGACCAAATTATTGATATGCCAGAAATCCATTTCATTGTTCGGGAGTTTGGTCTTTGGTTGTTCAGGTGATTAATCATGAGTTAACAGTATAGAGAAATATCCCGTCAGCTGTTTTGATTAGCTTGGCAAAGCTGTCAAACACCAAGCACCCAAATATTCATCGAAACACTGGAGACTGACAGGTCATTCCTGTTGCCAGCTTACATTTCATTTTGAGATCAAATCACCTCTTATTTTTCAGTGCATATAACTCACTGTTGTTTTTACATTCTTTCTGATATGTTGCCTTTTTATATTAATATGACTTAGGTGTTCTGCAAAAAACACTTAGGCGCCTTAGCCTTTCTGTGTTATGAAAAATTGTTGTTAGAAAAATATTCGAAGTGTGATTCGAAGTTCCCAGATCAATAAGTAATAAGTAAAACATTGAAAGAGAATCAAATTCTTTATTGGCTAAGTATGATAACACACACACAAGGAATCTGACTGATACAGAGGCTCTCAATGTATTTTTTAAGGCAAAAAGAAATAAAAAATAAAATCGAACTTTGTGTATTCAAATAGGAAAAATGTGCAGTTAAGAATTGTGCAATCAGTAGGAGAAAGAATGGGAGAAATA